GCCTAAAGAGACTCCTCCCAATATTTTTTCAATACATTGTGTGTGAGTTTAGGGGTGGGAAATCCCTTTCTTGTCCATAAGTGCCCAGAGTAGTCAAACAGGACTTCGCTGTACACTAGAAACATGACAAGAAATAGTTTAAAATAATAAATTTCTCTTAAATGATTCTGGCTGTCATTTTTTGCAAGCCCTCACAAACTCTTCACATGCCCAAGAATTAAGAAGTGTCTAGCTCATTTTTTGCCCTCGTGTGTTAAATGGCAAAACTGTAGTTCACTCTTATTGTAACTGTCATTTCTATGAAGCCAAAGGACTATCCTTTGAGGTCCAACATTTATTGTTTTTACTTTTATTATTTTCTCAGGTAAGAAAGCTCTTCGCTGGTGATTCCGGCTTATTGGCTCCAACAATTGTTAAGTCCCACATTCCACTGAATTTGCTGGTCTACAGATTTGAAAGGAAGCTGCCCAAATAACATGTGACACATCATAGAGCTTGTCACATGGAGAGATGACCCAGCAGACAGGGGTCTTGTTTTGTTTTTCTGTTTTTTTTTTTTTTTTAATTTGTTTGTTTGATTTTAGATACACAAAAGAATTACATGTTTTACAAGGACAGATGGGGTCCAAAGATCTCTTGGCCTTGGAAATGTTCCGGCAGAATCTGGACAATCACTTGGAAGGGATCCTACAGGAATGGTCTGACCAGGTCAGTATTTCCTAACGCAGGGTAAGTACCGTGGTTCGGTGGTAGAGGAAGCCTTCCTTAGTTAATATTAAGTCACAGTAAGAAAGTCATTCTTTCCAATTCTCTTTCAGCTCTTCAGATTGCAGGAAAGACATTTTGTAATATTTTGGTGCTAATGTGTATTTAACACCTTGTTAATATTTGCTGATCCCTCTTCTTTTTTTTTTTTTTTTAAACTATGAGAGTGGGAGTCTTGGCTCTCCAAGCCTTTGTCAGGCAACTGTATTAATTCAGAATTGCATATCGTTGTAATTTCTTATCTCCTTCACAAGGTAAGTAATAGGAGGTTCACATTTTTGGTAATAATTTAAGGCACTGGAAGAAAAGTAGGTTTATTTAAAAAACTTTTAGGTAAGACTAGGGATGGTGCCCATGTTAGAAAATTCTAGACTAGTTGACTTTGGGATGGAGATGCCATGACTCTATGAAAATCAGATTAAGGTCATGTTTTTAAAAATCAAATTGTCCCCTTCTTGTTGGGAGTACAGAGAACCAGCTTTAGTAACCCTTAGCAGTGGAATGGGAATTTGCTTATGTGTATTGTGAGTTGAGGGATGCGGGAAGCTCTCCCTTCTCTGTACCCAAAATACATCTTCTTGGGGACCATATCTCTGTGTTCATATATCCCCAGTGCCCAGCTCAGTGTCAATCAGAGTAAGAGCACAATAAACACCCATTAAGGAATGACTGAATGAGTGAGTGTTAAAGGCTGAATTTCATCTGTTTGATAATCCTGTCTGGTGTGCCCTGCGGCACACCTGGATGCTACAGCTGCTTTTACTGTTGCTATCAACACTCCTCTCTCACCTCTTACCTACAGTATGCCCAACTCCACAGAGATGGTCAAAGTTATGCTCCCCCCCTTTCAGAAAGCTGGGGTGCTGGAAAAGATTCCTTCTGAGGTAACTGAAGGAGAATGCCCAATTGAATAAGAAAAGAAGAAAGCACTTGTTTTCTGAAAAGATTCAGAAGTGAGTCAGAGGTGATAGTTTTGTCTACACAGCACAACCAGATACAGTATTTAATGATTATCCAGTGAATTTAATCTGCCTAAGCCAGCCAAACCAACTCATATTTCTGGCATAAAATGTCTAGTTTGGCTGCCTATCCTGACCAAATCAATAGACATTGGTGCCAAAACCCCCTATTTTATTGTGTGGTGTCTTGGCATAGATATATTCTTCTTACTCAAAAAAATAGGTACTTGAGTACAAATTCAGCCATTAGGCTTTCTCCCAGCTTCTCTCTGGCAGCTTCTGGAATGCTACACACCAAGGATGTTTGGAAAGATTGGCATTTCAAATTCAGGAAAAGGAGAATGTGGCTTACAGGGACTATAGAGCCATAACTCACAAACAGATGTTTCAAGTATAAAAATCCAACTCAGATTTCTCAGTTGTAACTTTTAATTTAATTGTAACTTTAGTACAATTAAATGTATAGCATGTTTCCTAGAATCTTCCAAAACAAAATGCTTAGTCCAAGAAATGCAGTAATGATTTCATGCATTTCAGTTTCTGTCTGCACAGACTCTGGGATGTTTGAACTTAGGACTGCTAACTCTATAATGCATTTTCCCACTGGGAAATACCTTCCCATGGGAGCATGACCTCTGAGTTCTTCCTCTGGTGCTCCTGACTGTGCAGAAAAGACCAGGACAACTACTACACAACGTGGTTATCCTCAGAAAATGGAGAGGAGAGGCTTTCCAATAGCTATTTGTTCAGTTGTCAGTCAACATGGCGTTCAGTATTTAATTCCACATTATGACTTACGCTTTGGACCAGGACTACAAAATGGTTAAGAAAGGCCATGCATGAAACTCAGTTGTTAGCCTGGTGGGTGCACAAGTTTAGCAGTGCATTTCTCATAATTAATAGCCCAAACATTCAAACTTGGGTTCCAATATTAGTAGCCCAAGGGTTGGAATGGGCCTTCAGACGAGCTGTGCTTGGCTTGCAGTGTTTTTCGTTTTGTGAACTGTATCAGAAAATCTGGAGGTTCTTCAAAAAAAATTAGATTTCTAGATTCTCTTGAGAAATGGGAAGATTTGGCCTTGTTGACACATGGCAACAACTGGTGGGAGCTGATTAGTTTTATGCTTTTCAGGTCCCAATAGCCGCTTTGCCTCCCTTCTATCTACATTATTCTGCCACTGGTCTCTCTCTGCTTATCATGATACTTTTCCCTGTTATTTCTCCTGCTGAAGAGAAATACTCTCCCCTTCCATGACTCTATCAAAGTAGTAAAACAAAAAGTGGCCTGAAAGGGCAGCGTCATCACCCACTTGGCCACTGTAGGCATCTGAAATTGCCTTCTCATTCTGAAATAATGGAGCCTGACTTTGTTCCCTCCCAGGCAACATATTTTCCAGTGACATCCACAGTGACATATAGGGAGGCCCTGTGGGGTCTGTGTAACTCACAAGAGTTCCACCCTCTTCATTCCCACTGTCTCATACATCCCCCTTTGGTTTAGAATGATTGTATTTAAAACCATGAAGGAAATTCTTATTGAATCAATCATTCATTTCATTTGATCCTAAATATCTAAATTGCTGTGTAGTGTGGAAATCACTCTTTTCAGACTAACACCTTAAAAAGATCTTTGGCAAACTAAACTATGCCCCTCAGGCTTTCTGTCTTAACACAGTCCTGGATAAGAGCTAAGACTCTTAATGGTCCCACTTGGCAGCATTCCCAACTTGTAATTAGGTTACATTTAAAAAATTCATCTTATATTGGTTGTTTGCAGCTTATAACTCCTTTCTCTTTAACAATGATGTTATAAATGCTGATAATTTCTTCAAGGTTTGACAAAAAATTTTTTCTTTAGCCATGCAAAGGGATTGCATCATAGTATATTTTTTTCCTGCAAAATTACTCAACCAAAGCTCATATTCTTTCAGTAAAGTTGATTATTAAGTAATAAAAACATCAGGAAATTCCACTTCAAGGTAACTGTCAACTGGGACTGCCACTAAAGGGAAGTAACATTTCTCTAACTGTATGTATAAGGGCTTTTCTCTTCTAAAGAGTAACACAGTGGGGTTTTAGCGCAATTATGAGAAAGCAGAAACCTCTAAACATTGGCTCCACCCTTGAGAAAAAGTATAAAGGAAACCAGGACCTTCAGTTTGTGTACAGGAAAACTTCAGGCACTCAATACAAATGCCCTGCCAGTAGACACGGTGAAGAAAGACTCACTGGTCTACTACATAAAATGTCAGAACTGGATTCTGTCCCGTAAATGCTTTCTACAAAGAATTTGTTTCCTGGAAAAATGGCAGCACATGGATAATCAAGTGAGCATGTGCCCTCATGTCATCGTTTAATATAGCTTCTGGGATAAGAACTATGGTTGCTATGGTTACCCCTAATCAGCAATGGACCAGCCCCATTTCACAAACAAGTACCCCACATCAACCCCATGACTATTTTATGGGCAATTCATCCTCCAGTGAAAGCTCCTGTACATGCAATCACTTGTCTAAGGCCCTGGGCAAGTGGAAGTCAGCAGAGACCTGCAAGGCATTAAGGAAAAATCTGACATAGTTCCTGCCCAAGTAATAGCCAGTCCTCCAAGGCATGTACGGACTGAATGTTGCCCCATCAGTTTTGAGTTGTACTGTGAGGTTCTCACTACACAGAGATCTTGAAAGAAGAGTCTAACTATCTTTGAGAACTCCCCGGGCGAGGGAAAGATGCTCAGAGCCTGCTCACTTAGACGCGGAGTGGCCTTCCTAAGGCAGGGACGGTGGGCCCAGGGTGGAAAAGAGAACGGGGTCAGTAATACCCGAGTTTGGGCTTTAGCTACCAACCTAGAAACCATCCCGCTGGGGCAGTATCTATAGAAATTCCTTCTCTAAGTCAGAGATGTGCTGAGGGAAACAGAAGACTGGGCAGGAAGGAATGTACAGTAACATTTTCCTGCAACTTCTTGGCTCCGTCTGTATTCACCAGTCACATATGCTCATGACTCTTTAACCTTTTCCCATGCAGGAGCCAATTGCTATCTCCCTGTCATAGAAAATAGAATCCTATCCTGAAAAGCTTCCACTGGTTAAAAATCCAAGTGTCAACTGATAAAATATCCAGATGGGGAAATCTCCCACCCCCTCCCCATTCTCCCACCAGCATAAAAGGTAATGGGGGTAGGGGGCAACTGGAGAAGGAAACAAAATCATGCGGGTACACCAGGAAAAGACACAGTGTTGGTGGCAGCAGAGTTGGTGAATGTGTTGTGGGCATTACCTCTTGATGAGGCTTCCAAGAAGGCTCCCGCTCAAGTCCTGGTGGCTCTGAGAACAAGCATTCTTGCATCAATAGCTAATAGGCTGTCCAACCAGATGTTATCTGGGTGGGATAAGAGGGTGAGAAAACAGACCTGTTGTACGCTGTTGTCAACTACATCACTGTGGTCAGAGAAGGCTGATCGTGTGGTGTTTAGCAGGGCACCTCGTTCGTGGTGAGGCAGACCAGATTACGTGGCTGTTTAAATCTGTTTCCTCTTGTGATTGGTAAAATACGAGAGTTATAATCATTCATGCATTACTAAAGCCTCCTTTCCATCATTTTGAAGGGACTTTTTTTTTCTAGAACAGAGCATGCATCCAGCAGAAACCCAAAGCATTTGCTTTTCTAAGCAATCTTTTGCAATAAGCACACTTTAAAAAAAAAAAACACAACTGCATATGGTACCTGTGACAAGACTGGAAATGATAAGTGGTAAGACTAGCATCTGTAACATCCTCATCAGAAGTTCCCCAGGAAAGGAGAAGTACTTGACTTCCCGGTAGCTCATTTTGTATGGTCGAAGGGTAAATCCAAGGATTGTACCTGAAGGCAAAAAAAAGAAAGAAAGAAAGAAAAATTGAGTCTTTTTTGAAACTGAAGCAACAGTCCTAGAAAAATGAGCAAGTATTTGGCTACTGGTTGTATTCCTTCAAGCAGCAAATATTTGTGCTGCTTTGGGAGGAAGGGGTACATCTATCTTTGCAGGCATTATCTGAAAAGATCTGGCTGAATCCAGGGCTTCAAGTAGAACTTATAGGAAAAAACAGTTTCTGGGTTGAGCAAATGAAAAATTCCTTTGTGTAACTTGAATGCAGTGGAGCCCATTTTGACATGGCTCAGTACAGAGTTACAAAGATTGGGGCATAATTAGGAAACAAATCATGCGTTCATGAACAAGGTGATATGGGGGGAAAAGGCCTTATTATAATGAAGTTCCTTTATAACAATAGATGTTAGAATTGCTAGCTTAACCACTTATAAAGGGTAGCGTGATTTTTTTCCAATTAAAAAAACCCTCATGTTCACGTTGTTAATCCATTTTCATCATCTTCCTGTCTGCACGCCGAGTTTTCTCTCTCTGCCTACATGGTCTTGACATTGCCTTGGCAAGAGTTCTGTACAGACTTGTTAGTCGCTGGCAAGAGAAGACTCTAAAATGAGCAGAGACTTTTCTCCCAAATTTTTTCCTGAAAACTTAGGGGCAAATAGGGGAAAGAGATTTCCCTTAATGTTCTCCTTAATGTTCCTTCTGCAATTTTCTCCTTAATGTTCCTTCTGCTCCTGGAACTTTAAAAGATTTTTAGAATGATAACTTTACATGTAAATCAAATTACACATGATGCCTTTTGTAACGTTCAAAAATTAATAGAGGTATTGGCATTAATAAAGATATAAATTTTCTCTCTCCCCTTTCCCTAATTTACTTTTCTTACCAAAGAAAATTTACTTATTTCAATATTGTAAATATTTTCAATTTTTTTGCTGTGCTATTACTACTAAAATGTGTGATTTCATTTTTTTAAAAGGTCCATTCTGTACAAACCAACCTTGTTAAATGAATCCTTATCCTCCTAGCCATTTCTCCACCCAATTAACTACCCTAACCTTTTCTCTTATCACATTTTCACAATTTACTACTATTTATCCAATTCAGTATAGGATGCCCAACTCTAACTGTATCTTTGGGTCTTCATTTCCTTATAAGAGTTCCCATGTCACAAAAATTTATATTAAATAAATTTGTATGCTTTCCTCCTGAAAAGAAAAAAAAAGGTCCATTTAAGTTATAGAGAAAAGAAAATGCCCTGTATTAGGTTAAGCTAGAGGTTGGCGGTGGAGGTAAGGGTGGGGGAGGAGGGAAGACTACTAGGAAGCCAGAGCTTTTCCAGAAGAGGCAAACCATGCTTTCCAGAAACTGAAATATCTTTACTTCTTAGGAAATGGGCTTTTTTCTCTTATGAAATGGGACTCAACGCCGGGCGCGGTGGCTCACGCCTGTAATCCTTGCACTCTGGGAGGCCAAGGCAGGTGGATTGCTCGAGGTCAGGAGTTCGAAACCAGCCTGAGCAAGAGCGAGACCCCGTCTCTACTATAAATAGAAAGAAATTAATTGGCCAACTAATATATATAGAAAAAATTAGCCGGGCATGGTGGCGCATGCCTGTAGTTAGTCCCAGCTACTCGGGAGGCTGAGGCAGTAGGATTGCTTGAGCCCAGGAGTTTGAGGTTGCTGTGAGCTAGGCCGACGCCACAGCACTCACTGTAGCTTGGGCAACAAAGCGAGACTCTGTCTCAAAAAAAATAAAAATAAACAAAGAAAAAAAAAAAAAGAAATGGGACTCAAAATTCATTTCAATTATCACTGCAACTCCACTTTCAATTACTGGGTCTCAGCCATCATGAAATATCCGTTCTTTGACTCTACACTGTGACATTCTAGCAAGAGTCTGAATCTATGGACTCTTTTTAGCAGGACTAGAACATCCTGATGACCCGGTTCTCAGAGACTTCAGGAAAATATTTATTGTTTTATTGCCAGTGTAATGGTACTATGCTCCAGAGAGAAAAGTTGGTTTGGAAAATGTTGGAAAGTGGGGGCAAAAGCCTGCCCATATTGGTTCTACTGCTTAAATAAACAGCAAATAGCTAAAGCCTACTGTACACACCCGGCATTGTGGTCAGTGCTTTACTTGTATTAGCAAACTCAGTCCTCATGACAGCCCCAGAGCTAGTACTATTTTACCACCAATTTACTGATGGAGAAACCTAATCACAGTAAATTTAAAACTTACCTAAAGACAAAAAATACTTAAGTGGCAGAGCCAGGATTTAAATGCAGGCGATTTGGGCTCAGATCCCATGTTCTTAACCACCTTATGTTATTTCCTGCCTCTCCTGTACAGCAAAGTGCTTCAGTGAGTTTCTTTCCGGAATGTTCCAACTCATAGTTAAATACATGGAAAACAGAGAGTATACTTTTCTACGTATGATCCCCATAAATGTCACTTTTACATCTCACGATATCAGATTTAATGACTAAATCAGCATTTACTTAATTCTCCCTCTGTTGCTGAACACTTAGGTTGTTTAGCATTTTTCACTTTCATGAAGAACACCACGATGAATATGTGAAGGCTATTTTACATCAAGGAATTTTTTTTTACTGTAGTTTTAGAGAAAGGGAGCCAGTACCTCAAAGCATATGACCACCTCAATTCATGTTATCAACTGCTGTCCCAAGGGGGTGGCCCAGTAGCTTACACTCCCCTAGGGAGTGAGGCCTTGTTTCCTGTACCCCGGAAGCAGAGTATTACCATAAAAAGATTAAGACAAGCAAAATTTGCTACTGTGATAAGTAAATAGTATATATTTTGTTTTATTTTGTATTTACTTAATATCTAATGATGTGGAGCATTTCTCCAAATTGCATTTTCTCTAAGCATCTATTAGATCCTAATATAATTTATGTGTATATGTGTGTGTATGTACATGTATCTGTGTGTGTGTACATGTGTGGTATAGATTTCTTTGCCTATATATAAAACATTTGCAAAAACTGTTTTTCTAATTTGCTTGCCTTATATTATTACTTTAAAAATATATAGGTGTTTTGAATTTTTATAAAATAGTGCCTGCACACCTTTTTAAAGGCGATTTCTTCAAGAATTATAAATTTTAAATTCCCTCCCCCTCTCAAGTTTGATAGATTTTTAATTCATTTTTTTCTCTGTCTGTTTGCTTTGTTTCAAAATATTTAACCATTAATCTTCCTGAAATTCTACTTGGGGTAAGGAAATTTAATTCTGATTTTTCAGCAGCATCTGTCACGTGTAGGAATTAATAAAAGGCTTTGGTTATATCTGGTTCTTTCCTGCTTTTTCACATAAAAGCCAAGTCACTCAGAGATAGTGCTTCATCTTATAATGAATGAATAAATAAATAAATAAATAAATAAACATTCTGCTTTACTTCCAATCAAATGCAATTTTACTGGAATTGATTACATTTTCTGGTCTTCATTTAAATGCATTTAAACATTTGCCATTTGGTTGCAACAAAACATGTGCATAAGAAACACAAGAAATCTGGAATTTGAACATACCAGGCTATCAGGAATTTTAGATCTCCCCCAAATAACAATTTAAGACCAGGCTTGGTTTCACAAATTCATATATAAGTTGTTATTAGAAATGCATTTATTTACGTACAACAATATTTCCAAGGGTGCGTAGGATCCTGGCTAGTCTCGAAAATTTATTATTTGTAATTTACAAATGATTAATAGAATAACTGCTCTACTAATGATATAGGTTCTAGGAGCAAGAGCCAAACCAGTAACTATGAAGGAAGCAATTATTCTTTCTAAATACTAGGTGCACTCGATCTCATCTCTTGGAGTCTAACTTGTGCCAATGCTGATTCTCCTCTCCTCTGTACAACTACACTGGCTGTGTACCAGCCTCTTTCTCCCCTTGCGTGTTCTACTACCTTCCCTCCACTTCCCCCACCCAACCTCAGTGCAACCAATTTTCATTTAGGTCTTAGGAGGGAAAGTAAGCCAGTTCAGTGAGTGAATTCTGGGCAATGTGTGAATGACAAAGTCCCTTAACTCTCCAACCTGCCAAATAGATATCTAACAGAACAAGAGCAAGACAATCAGGGAGGCAAAATATCAAGTGGTGGTGATTTGTGTGTGTGTCTCTCCTTACAGTCTACAAGTCTTACATGGACGTGCAGTCCTGGCATCAGGTACTCTAGGATGTGCCTCAGTTTCCTTATATTCTCCAATACAGAATCTACATTGTCTAAAAGCTCTTCTTTAAAGTAGCAACAACATAGAGGAGACATCATTTATGTATTGGAGATGGTTCTAGGTCAAATGTTTTAAAGAGAAGAGTTGTTTAGAGTGACAGTAGATTGCAGATACACATTTTAAAACATTTTTGTCCATGACTATGTTTTGGTTGGTTTACTGTCTCTGGGTTTACTAATTGAGTCATTTCTACTCTTAGGAAAGAGGCGATTATATCGAAGAAGGAGTATATTTTATTGAGCCCTTACTATATGTTAATGGTGGTGTTTACCCCTCATCACAACTTTAGGAGGTAGACATTATCATGTCTATTTTAAAGATGAATAAACTAATGTTCATAAGTTAATTTGCTTAAACTTGCAGATCTAATAAGTGGTTGACCTGGGGCATTCTAAACAAAGCCCAGTGCTCTCTCTATTTCACTTTTAATGCCTCTTAAACACAAACACATCCTTGTTGCCTGGGCCTGAGGATATTTCTCGAATGAGCCTGGCTCCTAGATCTTGAGCATCTCTAACTCCTACATCCTGCGTGTCTTTGGTATAATAATCTTGGATCTCCTAGGGATGTCCTGGAGGCACCCAGCACATCATGGAACTCTTTACAGGTCTTCTTACTTGCTGAAGATCTCAAAATATGGCTTTTAGTACCAGGTCACTATTTATTAAAATAGCTACACCAAATCCCTTTTTATGACTTAACCAAACTTATATAAAGTTTATTAATTAAA